AGACGTGCTTCGTGCGTCACTGTAGGAACGCCTTCGCCTGCAGCTTCACGCACCGCTCCGGCTGGAAGCTGGCGTTCTCCGGCGACACCATGCCCTGCGATGCGTTTGTGCACATCGGTTAGTTCCACTATTAATGATTAAAATCCACATTTCACTCACATGTATCTACACACTGCTGCTGCTGCTGCTCACAGTAAACTGAGCGAGCGTTTGTCAGGTCACCTCAGCAGCCCGATCCTCTTCTTGTTCTGAATAATTGATCTGATATTTTCTTAATGCTTTCGATGACCCACACACACAGCTGGCAGCCTCTTCTAATGGCTCCTGCGGGATCCCTCATCCCTCTTCATTGACTCTTCTTAAATTGCTTGACTGGATTCAGTCCAAGCAAATCCTCCCAAAGACCCGGAGTGTATCCCCGGGTCTGTTCATTACAGACGGCGTGCTGCAGCAGACAGTCGGGGCGTGCCGCTCTTTGATTACGCCGACGACTGGATTGATTTCCTTTGAGACAGGAAGAGGCTGTAAATGCTTTCTTGGCTTCAGGACTCTGGTTTCACTTTTTTTTTTTTTTTTTATACCTTATTTATTTATTTTCTTTGCAGGAAAAAATGCAACCCTGCTGATCCACGAGGCCACGCTGGAAGACGGGCTTGAGGAGGAGGCTGTTGAGAAACGACACAGGTGAGCAAAATCAACTGTAACACTTTATAATAACCATCACCTATAATGGGTAAATGAGGGTAAATAGATAGTTAATTAACCATTAGTTAATAGTTATTTACTGTTAACAATGAAATGATAGTTAATAATGTTTGCTAATGATTTGTAATGCTATAATTTATGTTAACAGTTTATTGATGCACACATTATTACATTTCATACACTTTATGAAGCGTTTGTTAATGAGAACAATTATTAATCATTCATAAAATATTAATTATCTATCTAAAACATATTTATAGATGCTTTACAAAGTATCAATGAGGGATTATAATCTTCAGTTTATAATAACCAGCCCAATAATGTTAATAGACGCTTTATAAAATATTTAAAAACCATGAACAAATATCTGGTCCATGTGTCTCTGTAATGTTTATAGATGTTTTATAAACATCTCTTAAAGGTTTATAAATCATTAACAAACACTTTATAAAGTGTATAAAATGTTATAATGTCTGTTAACGTAACATAAATTATAGCATTACAAATCATTAGCAAACATTATTAACTATCATTTCATTGTTTGTTAACAGTAAATAACTATCAACTAATGGTTAATTAACTATATTTACCCTTATCTACCCTTTTATAGATGATGGTTATTATAAAGTGTTACCAAATCAACTGCCAAGAATAATATCTACAGTGACTAAAATACAATAATTAACTTTTCCACTTTTTTTTAATAGTAATTTCAAAGTGAATGTAATGGCACTACAACTTATAACTAAACCCTGTCAGTCGGCATGGCTCTGCACACCATGATTTAACAACCACAAAAACACAACTTTAAGTGATGCACTTTGATCCAGAACATTTTCCCTGAAAGCTCATGTTGCAGCCTGTTTAACGGCCGCCTGCTGGACTATTCTAATGGATCAATCCAAACACTTAATGTACATATTAGTCATTTAGACTCCAAATTATGTTACACAAATGTCCCAGGATGCAAAACACACAAACACAACAAACTAATAAAAAAAGAAAGCAAACTGCTGCAGTTAAAGTCCCATCAGTCAGCCGAATGGACGCACTTTACAGGCTGTTTGTTGTTGCAGTAATGTTTCATGGAATTGTTCAATTTCTTTACCCTCCTTCAGAATTGACATCGATTTTTATCTCCTTTCTTTATGATGTCACACAGAGCGTCTGTCTTCTCAAAGACATCTTTTACGAGGAGAGAAAATCATATTCCTGTTGAGTTTCCCCTCTGAGAGCGACACAGATCAAATCTTTGACTCTCTCTCTTCTGCTTGTTGTTGTTTTTTTTCTAACAGCACGACCTCCCAGGCCATCGGCATTGGCATGAGGATGAACGCCGACTTCATCATGCTGAACCACTTCAGCCAGCGCTACGCCAAGATCCCTCTGTTCAGTGAGGACTTCACCGAGAGAGTCGGGATATCGTTCGACCACATGAGAGCAAGTATCCCCGTGTGATGTTTGAAAAGGAAACACCCGACAGCTTTCTGCTTCGGAATTTTAAATAGATGGATATGGACATACAGTAGATAGATAGCACTTAATTTTCATGTGCTAGTTTGATAGCAGTCCTGTACAGCAGCATGACAAATCTGGTGAAAAATAAGTGTGTATAAAACATTAGAATATTTTTATAAACACACTTGGGCCAATTCAAATTTGTGATCAGAATTAATTGCAAAATGTCAATAGTTAATCGTGATGTGTCGCAGAGAGTTGAGAGTGCGTTTCTTGCTGTTTGAATTCAAGCATGCTTTTATTTTGAAATAAAGTGATGACCTTCTGGTAGATCAAAGGTTACGACATTAACTTTATCATGAAAAATAAAATATTTATGGATCAAAAAGTTAATAAAAACAGCTCAAAGGAACATCTAAAAAAAAAAAAGTGAAATGGATGATGTCATGAGGTGGATATGCCTCACGACTCGTCTGAATGTTTCAGTTCACTTTTATAAAAGTCTCAGAGATGCAGCAGTGTTGTTCTTTTCCATCACCGTGACGACAGGGAGACACTGAGGAGGCGTGTCCACAGTGAGCGTAACTACCTAGTTAACCAGTTAATGCTGACAGCGCTTAAAAAAAATTAAATAAAGCGGACCATTTTCACATTTTCAGTCTGATGCCGATCACATCCCTGATCTGAAGAGCACGTTCAGGACATGAATCTGAAGCAGAAATCCAGAAAATGAGTTTAAAAAGAGAGAGAGAGAGGGTAATGTTGTGTGAAAGATATGTAGGTTTGTTTGTGTTTGATGACGGGCTGAACTGATGTAGGTTTTTATGAGCCTCCATCCTTTACTCATTTTCTCCGTCTCCTATTTGCTCAGATTCGCTTCGGGGACTTTAAAATCCTCCCTGGACTCAGTCCCGCACTGAAAGCCCTTTTTGCCGACGAGATCGAAGAGATGGAGGAGAGACGAGAGAAGAGGGAGCTGAGACAGCCGAGAGGAGGAGGAGGAGGAGGCGGCGGAGGCGGCAGCGGCGGCGGCGGAGGCTTCTCCTACAAGGTGAACAGTGAGGAGAGGAGAAGCGCAGGTGCCAAAAGAGACCAGGAGGAGGCAGCGGCGCACAACGTGGAGACGAAGAGGCTGAAAACCAGCTGAGACATTTAACCTGAAAAAAAGACTCGCACTTAAATCATCCTGAGTTGTTTTATTTAAATGAATTTGAGAGTTTTACTTTCCCTGTGTGGATGAGTTGAAGACAACATGTATGTATATGACATAGCAGTGTACAAAAACTCTAGTTTTTGTTTACCATTAAACACTATAAAGCAATACAACAACAACAACAACATGTGAAGCTGTTTATGGTTATATGTTAACTGAAGTAGTGACGTCAGTAGTTTGCTGCCTTTTAGATCACAACAAAAGATTGAATTAGTTTGATCAAATAGAATTCTGAAAAGTGGCATCAGTACTTTTAATAAGCAGACATTGTTATATAATGAATGTTCACTTTATGTTCAAAACTTAGCTGAGCTGAAGTGGAAACATCAGAAGACGAGAAATTAGGCCAATTTAAAAACAAAAGAAAAAAAAAAAGAATACTCTTCCCTCGGTGCGTCAGATGGCGTAGTGGTTATGTCGCATGCCACATGTACAGAGGTTGTAGTCCTCGTCATAGCAGCTATGGGTTCAAATCCAACCTCAGTATTTTCCCCTCCAGTCTCTCCTGCCAGTGTTTCCCCTCCCTCTTCAGTTGTCCAGTCTAATAAAAACAAAAGGACCAGAAAAGATTACTTAAAAAAATATAGTGGCCACTTGGGGCTTGTTAGAAAAGTGAGTCATTCCCATAGAGTCCCATATTTTAAAATGTCCACATTCACAGCAGAAATAAACATGTTTACAGCCTGGTTCAAAAACAGTTTCTTCTCTGTCAATCAATTCTCTATTTCTGAAAACTGCACAAGAGGGATTTGTCTCTTGATTCAAATCTATTAAGCTTTAAAGTTTTGTATATTTGTTATTAAGGGACAGGTGGGAGCTGCTCATTCAGTCACTGAACCTCACCTCTCGATTGTGTTTGTAGCGGTGGAGCCTTTTGTACTGTTTAACATGAGAATAGCAGACAAACTGTCCAAACTGTTGATGCACGGGCGAAGAGCCAAAAATCTTGAATCTCAGTTTTAGAAAACTCCAGTCAGCACCAACAGAAATCAGAATCTACTTCTATGGTAAACCTGATGAATATTTCCCAGTTAATAGATTAGCCACAAGCAAAAACTGTTTAGAGTTGGTAGCTTAGCATTTGCTAACCGCTCGTTCTTCTCCAGCTTCACCTCAACGTCCAAATATCCTCACTACTGGCTCCAGAAAAGCAACATGGTGAAGCCAAAGATTCACAAATCAGGTCTTCAAAAAGGCAGTTGACAAAGCAATGATCGACAGAGTGGCTTTAGGTTAATTCACCATCTATTGAGGAGTTCTGCTATTTGCACATGTGGACCTGTACTTGTACATGTACGTGCAAATCAACTATTCAACTCATAATTGTCATATTTAAGAAACAAAAACTCCATGAAACCAAATTGCTGTTGTAAAAAAAACATATTTTTTATCCTCCATTACTTTGAGCTGCAGGTAAATGACAGTTCCCACATCAGTCCACATGGAGGCATAAGTGAGCCTTTATTGGATTTACTGGGATCTAAATGCAGAAAGAAAATGAGCCTACATTGTAATGAGGAGTGATTTATTACCTTTAACCACTTGAGGGAGCGCTGGCTGCAGGAATCTGAAGGAGGAGGAGGAGGAGGAGTAAATATTTCAGCTGTCAGAGGGGTCAGCTGTTTGTAATTGTCCGCTCTGTTTCAACCACTGGACGATATTGGAGATACTGGCTCCGTGTGAGGATGGCTTAAACTTCTAAAAATGGGGTTTTGTCTTGTTTGCGTAACCTTTGAACACATATGTCATCCACGCAGCGTCTGCAGGCACCAATGAACTTTGATTTCAGAGGGCTGACCTTTCAATCACAGAAGAGGTGAGGAAACAATCACCACCACCTTGTTCCGCAGCACTTTTTCTTTGCACTACCTCTCAGTTCAGATTAAAATCATCAAACTTCCTATTAACTGTAATGGTTCTACTCTGAAATTCAAAGCTAAAGGTTAAACTTCCTCTGCCACGGAGAGGATCCCCTGTCTCTCTGCAGATAAAGACAGGTGCCAGAACTCTGCAGTAAACGTGAGGGGTTTTCAACGATGAGCGGGTTGAGCGGTTAGCCGGTGATTAGCTCTTTTTCTGGAGTGTGAAGAGGTGAGATGAAAATGCATTGCTATCCGAGCCTGAAGTCCATCTAAAGGGGGTCTCTGCTGCAGCTGGAGGGGGGGGGGGTGGCTGCCTCTGTCAGAGAAGGCATGAATGATAAGCAGCAGGAAGAGTCAGAAAGGTGGACTGAAGCACCTAATCATGCTAAAGCAGCAGTGGGGCAACCTGCCAATGAATACTGAAGAAGGGTTCTAATGTGTTTAGAAAGCAGAGTTTAAGAGGTTTCATACCCTCAATTCACCTCGCTAAGGAATATATTTTATCAGATGTTTTTGGTCATCCACACTAAGAATGAACAGATTATTCTGATTGATGACAACTAATGGCTCTGCTTTTTTGTTTAGTTTAGTTTTGGATCATCTCTGTTGGTTCAACACAGTTTAGATTACACTTCCACTGTTTCTGTTTACTCCCACATTTCTTGCATACATTTTATGTACATACATTTTAATCGTGATACTTTTGTGAAGAACAAACAAAGGGTACCGCATTGTTCTCAAGAATGTTTTTTTTTTATGGTTAGTTTCCGATTTTCACATCCTGCTCTAAATCCACTCCTCTAGTACCACTCCAATCCAATAGGGGGCGATACTGCAAAACTGTCCTTGTCTGACTTCCTGTTCGGGTCAGATTGAATACTTTAATACTCAAACATCTCAACAGAGTTTGTTCAAAGGTCTAAAACCATGCAGTAACATTGAATGCTTTTCTATTGTCTAGTCATCTTGTTACGTATTCTTATCCGCAGATCACCTGGAGCTACGTTCTGTGCATGAAGAATCATTATCTTAAAGTGGCTGGATTTTCATTAGAACGACATACATTACAATATCCATGGTCTCCAGACGATGACCCCAACTGACCTGTTTCTGATCCTTTAGTCTTTTCTTCTCGAGGACCCAGCAGGTCAAAGTTATGAATATTTATAGAGAATGAATAATTACACAAAGAAGAGTTAGAAATTGTAAACCCTGCTTGAGTTGAATCATAAAGACTCACATTCGGTCATTCACATTTAGTGACTTCGTTGATTTCTTTTCCAACTTGTGCAGTTTTGGCTTTAACCCACCTGCTGTCCTCCGGGTCATTTTGACCCACTTTCATGGACCATCATCATCATCATCATCATCATCATCATCATCATCTCTCTCTCTCTCTCCAATGCAACTCAATACAATTCAAATGGCTTTCATGGCATGAGGTTTTGGGCAGCCAAAGCAAGTTAGAGAGCTGAAATTGGCACTGGTAGTACTCTGGGGGCCCCTGAGGACCCCTACACATTTTCAGCTCTCTAACAGTGTACAGTGTAGTTACACTACAATGTACTGGCACTCCCATACAATTCAATTAGATTTAAGGGAAGGGAAGGAAAGGGAAGGGAGTTGGCTGTTAGATACTTAAATTGAGCTCCTTTGGACTCATTAGTTCGATGTTAGATTTTGGCAATGTGTTAGCAATAAGATGTTGGTTTCTCCCACTGTCGACTCCACATCAAAACATTTTCAAGGCGTGCACTCATTGTTTTAAAGGCAGGGTTGGTATTTTTCTCCAGATGCACTTTTAAGAAAATCTGTCATCTGTATCAGTTGTATATAGAGGACGAGATCTGACAGAAGTATATAAATAAATAAATAAATGTATAAATAAATACTGGAATAAATAAATAAAAGAATGAATAAATAAATAAATAAATGCGTGAATGCGTATTTATTTCTGCGTGAATAAATAAATAAAAACTGTTAAATAATTAAATGTCTTAAATTTATTTCTATATTTATTTATTTCTACATTTAATTTCTACATTTCTGTGTCCGTATGCTAATGAGGTAGGAGGGACTAAGGTCAGTCTCATTCAGGATTGGTCAACTGAGTGATCCAGTCAGATCTATTCCTAGCGAGACTTCCTGTTGACGTTAAGCAGACTAGCATGGCTTTAACCGGGAGACCGCTGGCAGAACTGCGGGACCAGCTTGAGAACTGTGAGGTTATTTTGAGTATGCCAATAAATGTAGAAATAAATTTAAGACATTTAATTATTTATGTCTCATTTATTTACCCGTTTTTATTTATTTATTCACGCATTTAATTATTTATTTATTCATTCTTTTATTTATTTATACTTCTGTCAGATCTCGTCCTCCATAGTTGTAAGCCTGTAAAAACTTCAACCAATGTCTGCCATGAGGTCCCAGTCTGATGAACCAATCACGCCCTGCTCGCCTCTGCCCCTTTGCGTGCACAAGCCCACACTCAAAGCACGTCACCGATTTCAGAGTTTATATTTTGAGTTTGTCGTTGGCCCAGCTTATGAGCTATACATTTAGCAGCAGCTCACCTCTCAGCCCCCAGAGATCGGCCAAAGAGTGTTGGAGAGACTTACAGCCTAAACACGAACAAATAGCAGCAGCTCGGTTTGAGGCCCCTGCTCACATCCGAAAATATTTGGAATACTTCAAATTTTTGAGCAAGACCTGATAACTTTAAGAGTAGAGTGAAAATGTTTTTTTTTTAGTGCAAAAGAACGACACTCACCTGTCCCTGCATGTTCCCTAAGTAAAGATCCTCAAATACCTGAGAAAACAATCAGCTGTTCTGATATTCACAAGAAGTCGTCGCATCAATCTCACCTGCCTGCTGCCGAGTGAACAAAGAAGAACTCTGGAGACAGAAGGCAGCACAGAAAATCTTTGTTTTTTCTACACGGAGAGCTGGATAAACTCACATTGATTTCTCATTTTTCCTTGTTTGTTATTTTGACATTCAGATAAAGACTTACAGAGGATTAAGGAGCCTGCTGGTACGCCGTAAAAGATGCTCGACACATGCATTATTCTTAACTTCTGATATAAAGTTCCCATGTGAGTTTCATCGGAAGGTTCTCTTAGATAGAAATCCCAAAGTACAGCCTTCTTTTTTGGGATCAAATTTCACACGTTTTGATGTGGAAATCACATTTACTGCAGCTCCAGATGATCAGTTTCATGTGAGAGATTCAACATCCATTTTGTTTGTTTTGTTCTGTATGTTCTTCAAATGAGTCTAAAACTCCTGCACACCTCAGGGCAGCATGTAGAGACAGTGGCGGTTCTAGAGTCTCATGGGGTCCTAGGCAAAAGTCAAATTGGGGGCCCACCAACCAGCGTCACGACAAATACTCCTCTTTTGTCCTGTTTCTTTTTTCTCTCCTATAGACCGATAATGCCTCTTCATTTTTATTGGTTGACTTCTTTGACAAACTTTGGTCTTCACAGCAATGATGCATGCAACGTTTAGCAAGGGACGAGAGTGAGGGCTGTCAGATAGGGCCCCCTAAGGGAGGTTTCCTGCTGTTGTTGCAAAATAATCCACATTTTGGGCCACTGCTTTGGTTTAAGATTGTGAACCCTCAGGGGCCTCCTACTGGTCTGGGGCCCCCAAGCAGTTGCCTGCCTTTCCTGTTGAAAAGCAGCTTTTGTGCTGTACGTATGTCTCCACAGAGGTGACAGGAAGGTGAGGAGCTGCTTTGAGTTTTCATGGACTGCTGATTGTTCTTTATGTTCCAAAAACAACATGGTGAACTTTTAATTTAAAGGACGCGTACTTAAACTCCTTTAACATAATAACAAAACTATACAGCGAGCACTCGAGCCGTGCAGATGGAGCAGAAGAGCTCCTCTCCTGTCTGGAACAGGATGTAAGTGGTCATTTTATGTTTTGCATTTAGTTGCAGAAACAACGTTTTATCCTGTATTTTACATCCTCATTAAGGCCGACTTCTCTTGAAGTCTTTCTGCTCTCTCTGCATAATTCACATTTTCACCGTCACACATGCAAATTAGAATGAAGTAGCTAAATCCTTCTGCTCGTCATACTTCTGTTGGTTCGTTAATTGCAGTTATTGATCTGTTATAATGAAAATCATGCATAGATGTTTGTTTAAAGTCAGATCATCAATCTGTCACAATGACTCGTGTACTCATTAATAAAATGTGTTGCATGCTCAGGCCACAGTGACTCATTCCTATAACATGCCTTATACGTCAATAAAAATCCATAACGGTCGTCATAGTGACTCACTTATTATTTCTAACTCTACTGAATAATCTTAAAGGTGTTGGGCACCGGTAGCCTCGTGGTTAGTGCGTGAACACCATTTACGTTACTATATGATCAGACATTAAGGAAACATGCTATGTTGAAGTGCTGGCTTCTCTGACAACAACGCAGCAGTCAGAATGTCCTCCCTCTAAGTCAAGATTCTGGTGCAGAATGGAAAAGTAGGAGGTTTTAAAGCACCCCCACACGTCCTCTGCATTTTTCAAACAAGCATTTTTCAAAAATCATCTCTGAGCCTTTGCCTGTGTTCAATATTCACCTGTAGTTTCTGTGACTAAAGAGAATCTCACAGAATCTGGTGACTGGTGTTTCCCCACCACACTTTAGTTTTCTACAGGTCATGTTTGGAGCCAACAGAGCGTGAAGAAGTTGTCACACATGATGCTTCGGCCTTCACACTTTTTTTCAAACAAGCTCCACGAGCAGAAACGTGGTCAAACTATGATAAATAACGGAGAAGCATTGAAAAAATAGTGAGAGGTTAGAAAGCGGAAAGGTTTACAGACCATGCAAATGCAGAGCTGGCTAAACACTGAAGCTACAGTGTCCACAACACGGCAACCTGCGTGCACATTGACTCTAATGCACTGTTATTATCCTTGAAATGATCCTAAAAACTTTGCCAACTGCCTGCTTCCATGCTTGCCGTCTAATCAGTTAGTGATATTTCCCCTCTGATGGGTTTGAACTTTACATTTTAGTGAATCTGTCCCCATGCTGTGGAGCAAAATTAACATCCTGAATTTGCATGCAGTCAAAACTTTATTGTACGATTAATTTTCCCTCTTTTTCCAAAGGGAAAAGAAGAGAAAGAAAGCGGGGTGTAAACAACAATATTTGCATAACAGATGTATTACCTTCTTTTCAAAATCTATAAGACGACTTGTCCAACACATATGGGAGATTTTCTTTGAATCTGTTTGCCATCTGGTTATTTCAGGAATTCTGCAGATGTAGCCTTTGTTTTTAAACTGCACACTAAATGCATTCATTTTGGACCAATCAGTGCATACTTGTAGTTTGTAGGTGGTTTCAAAAAACAGCCTTTGTTTTGTTCAATCAGAAAAGTAGCTCACAAAAGCCAGCAGCACAAAAGCAGGGCCTTTTTTTAACTGTTAGAATCTAAATGACGCAGTGATTGTAATTAACTACACCTGGGCTTTTCCTTTCTACACAAGTCAAACGTCTGCTGTAAATGAAAAAGGCTCAGTCCAAACATAAAGCCTTTTTTGTTCCGCAGGTGAATTCACTGTTTTGTCTGCATCGATGCCGGCGGCTCCCTCGAGACGAGCAGACCGGCTTCTTCTCTGCTCACAACGCGTGGATCGAGTGCAGATGGACCTGATGTTTTGTTGTGCAATTTGCCGTTATCCCCGCTCCTGTCTGACTCCAGCTCACAGACACACGTCCACAATGCTCCAGTTAATTGCTACAAGCCAGCAGGCAGGCGGGTAGGAGCTGGCAGCTGTGCACACACATCTTCATCCAGGTTTATAGGATCGCAGGTATGCAACAAAAATCATCTCTGAGCCTTTGCCTGTGTTCAATATTCACCTGTAGTTTCTGTGACTAAAGAGAATCTCACCGAATCTGGTGACTGGTGTTTCCCCACCACACTTCAGTTTTCTACAGGTCATGTTTGGAGCCAACAGAGCGTGAAGAAGTTGTCACACATGATGCTTCGACCTTCACACTTACTCAGTTCCTCTGTTTCCTCATGGATTCTCCTGCAGAGCACTTTCTCTGCACTTCCTGTCTTGAAATACTTCTTTGACTCTTCCAGAGAGGATGAGCGTCTGTTCGATTGTGAAAGCAGTTGGACGTTTTACCTTTTGTTTTGTGCATTTGATTTGTAGGACTGGAAGAGATTTTAAGACTGCAGAACGCATAATGATAGGAACTGATTATTTTGGATCTGCGTGGTGAAAAATCCATAACAGACACATCTTCACACATATTTGAAATCCTTATTTTTGGGCTTTTATGTCTTTATTTAGTAGAGATGAGTGAGAGCGAGAGAGTGGGGAATGGCACATGGGAAAGGAGCCACAGGTCAGAATCAAACCCACGCCGTCCACTTGAAGGACTATGACCTCCGTACATGGGGTGCGCACACTAACCACTAGGATACCAACGCCCCAGATTTAAAATTTATACTTGACGAATCATAACATTGCGCCCACCTGTCAATCATGTCAGCTACGCGTCTAACAATGGAAAACACAAACCGTTTTGAAAATCAAAACTGAGCAGTTTAAAAAAAAAAAATCACCCCCCGTCCAGTGTGTGCCTGTCATGACAATAACTAATCAGACCTATTTCGTTTTCGTACCAGGCTGTAAACATGTTCATTTATGCTGTAAAAACGTCTATTTTGCCTGTTTTGTGTATGTGACTTCTGGTGTTCCTGGAGCCAGCCTCTAGTGGACAAACGACGAACTGCAGGATTTTGCACTTCCGCATTGGCTTCATTTTTCAAGACCGGAGGTTGCCGTTTAGTCTGCACTT